CGGCGCGCACTCTCCTGATACCCCATATTTGTCTGTTTTCAATCATGCTTCCTTGTGTTTGTTTGTTGTGTTTAATTTTGGTCTAAGGATGTTCTTTAGCGTGGTTATAATTGCATGATCATCACGGTGTTTAATTGTTATGCTAACCATGTTCTTTCACGATTATACTCTTTCACTACTTTTGGTTACTAGGACTTTCAGGCATATACTGATTGGCCTGGGGACCAGGCTTCTAAGTTTAGGGGAGTAGTGGAGCTGCTAATGCAGATGCGGTGTAGCACCTACTGATGATGATGACCAGACCCCATAGATGGAAGCAGATGGAGCCTACCTTAGTTTACCTTTGTCTATTGCAATTTATTCTTCTGTCTTTTATTTTCAGTATTTAACTGTTTTTATATATAGTCTTTTTGATGATTACTCTGTTGGTTCTTTTTGTGAATAGTCTGCCTTAGCATGGTTTTTAATCTTGTTGATACTTGTTTTGCTTGTGGTCGATTCTGGATTATAGTTTGCTTGATGTTTATGGTGTGTGTACCTTAGACATTTTCAAGTCACATTAGATCTTTAGTTCATGACTAGTTGCATACGGGTTTCAATGTTGATCATAGAACTGAGCTGAGTTTGATAGTTTGTGGATGCATAGCCGGGTGAGGTTTGAGCCTAAACACCTATGAGTGAACTACGCTTAGGTTGCATGATAGACTTTGCTTGAGTTTCCCTGGTGGTTTGCTTATGTTATGCACTTATATGATCAAGGCATTCACATTTCCATATTTTGTTAACCATCTAAGCCAAAAAGCCATATCCACTTTCCACTTGACCCATACCTTCCTAAGCCTAAACACCATACCTTCCACTTGTCCAAAACCAAGAAAAATTAACCATAACCTTTGTCTTGGTTAAGAGAGCAAAAAATGATGACATCAAATAAGTTTGGGGGAGTTGAAGAATGAGGAAATTTGGGAAGAAGAAAGTATGTGGTCAGCCATTACTAAATAAATAAATAAAAACAAAAACAAAAAAAAAAACAAAAAGCAAAACAAAAACAATAAGGCTAATGGCTTGGATCCGGTTAGGGGCATGTGCCAAATTGGTGTAATGGGGTATGGAGAGGGACATCATTATAAAATCTTATTTGCTCTCTTAAGCTATAGCACCTTCAATCCTTGAAAAACCATAAAACTGCTTCTGCTTGACCCTACTTGACCCAGCAAGTGTCTCAGAGCTTTCCTCTCTAGACTCTCTCTCTCTATCTGATATTCTAAATTGAAGGGGTACCTCACAACATGGACGAGGCCTTCTTTTAAAGACTTAAAAATTACAGTTTCTACAGAACCAGTTGCTTGACAGGAACTGTTTATTAATGAGCTACAGTGCTGGTAACTTGACAGGAACTGTTCCTTTAGAAAATGGTTGGTACAGTACCGGTATCTTGACTGGAACTGTTGAGAATTTTAGATGTCTGTTAGATTTACTCCAAAATAGTCATCTTCATTCTAGTATAACTCATCTAGAGATGCTGTAGATTCTGACGAGCTGGGTAAGGAGGATTTTGAAGTTTCTCCTTCCTTCTTGAGTAAAGGCAAGATTTCTTCAAGATTCTTGGCAAAACTATCTTTGGTCTTTGCAGCTGCTAATGAGGCTATTATTTTTGCTTTCTGGTTGAGAAATAATGAAGTTTCTGGGTCAGCTATTTTCAAATATTTTGTGTTGGAGGTAAACCAATTTTTTACTTCTTGCGAGCTTGCTCGGCTAGCATCAAATTGGGGCCACCATTTGACATAGGAGTTCCTTTGAAATGGAGGAGGTTTTAGTGGGTTATCTGATTTTCCAAATTTATACTGCCATGAAAATATCCAAGATAGCAAGAAGCTTGAGAAAAATTGAAGATCTGCTGGGATCCATGTATTTAGGCTATCATACATAGATTTAAAGACCTTGAAACCTTCTTCGGCTGGGGTCGGAAGGATTTCTTCAATTGGACCACAAAATTCCTACTATTGGAGGAACCAGTTTGGGAACTTGTACTGAACATTTCTTTTGAAATAGATAAGCCATGAATGGCGATTAGTTTTATTTTGATACTAGAACGTTTTAGTCCAAGCATCAATATAATCCCAATAATTGTACCCAATAGGGACAAAAAACATTGAAAATTTCTGAGTATTATTTGGGTTTTGGCCAAACTGGCTAGGAGTTAAAACTTTTAATATTTGGAAGGTTGTATGGGTTATATTAGAAGGATCTTTTGGATCCTTATAATGTTTGATTGCTATAGAATCTGTATCAGCCAAAATAAACTCATAGAACTTTCTCGTTTTATTGAGGGCAAGAGGTTTAAAATGAAAACCCTGAAGAAAAAATTTTTGGGGAATTTTGTTTGGGTTTTTAGCCGAAAATTCAGGTTCCATTTGAACAATAACTTAAATCTTATTTTTTGGGACATATTGAGATTGAGAATTTTGGGGCTTTTTTGTTTGAGTTAAAGTCTGGTTTTGAGGAGTTTCTTTTGTTTGTTTTTCTGGTAATTTACCAATGAGAAGATCCATAGTTCTATCTTCTTCTTCTTCTTCTTCTGACATTAGGTCAGCCCAAGTCTTGGTTGGAATACAGTTTAGACTCTGAAGATTTAGTAGGTTGAAATTGGGATTGAGATGGCATAATCTGCCTTGGATTGTTCCCCACAACCTCACAATACCACAATACCATTCCTTACCTTTTCCACTCACAAAACAATATTTATTTACAACTTTCATTCCAATAGTCACAACTTTGAATTCACTGCACAAACTATGAAATTGGAATTATTCTTTAGTCACGAATAGTCAATAAATGCTTATATTACCTTCTAATCCCTGTGGATACGATATTTTTACTACTTGAACGGCCGGTATACTTGCCGTGTTTGAGACCGTTGATAGAATTAAACGAATTTACAAATATTAACAAAAGTGTTTCAACGGAAATCTCAACAGACGGCAGCGAGGTACTTGACAGTGCAGTTGGCGACGACGCGGTAGGCGTGGCAGAGGGAGGTGGCGGAGGCATCGTTGGAGAGGGGCTCGAGGAGTTCGAGGATGTGGAGGGCGATGTCAAGGAGGGAGGCATGGAGAAGGAGGGTGTGCTTGAGGTGGAGATCGGCACTAGAGAGGGAGTGAGGTTAGGGCTTTTTGGATGAGGAAATCGGGGACGGAGTCAGAATAGGCACCAAATTGATAACATATACCAAATTGATAAGTTTTTTTTTACATCGGACACCACGAGATCCGATGTAAAATTTGAAATCTACATCGGGTCTTGCTAAAATCCGACGTAGATTTCAAATTTCACGTCGAACCTCGTGATATTTGACGTAAAAAACTTGATTATAATTTTAAAAATGTCACCGTATTTTTTTTTTACGTTGGATTTTTCTTTATCCGACGAGAATACATTGACGTAAATTCCATATTTTGTAGTAGTGAATTCATGACTAATTTTATAACATTTGATCATAAAATTTGAAGAAAAAAAATTGACAAATAAAATGGAAATAATTTTTAAGTTTTTTAATGAGTTGGGTTTGGATTTTCGAGCTAATGAGAAAAACCTATGTTGAATTCTCCTTGTATAGATTCTAGCTTCTACTTCTTCCTTAAAATGCTTTATTTCTCCTCGTCATTGCAGATAGTGAATGGTGGGAATGAGCCTCACTGTGCTACTTTGGTTACAAAAGCTAGTATGGTCTAACTACTAGTACGTTAATCCTGGTAGATAATTCTACAAAAACACTTGGAATCTGTACTGTTTTAAAAATAAATTTTTTATTTTTAAAATCAATTTAAAATATTTTAAAAATAAATAGAAAACACATGTTTAATAAAGATTATAAATAAGAATAAGCTAGTATTTTAGCATATAAATGTACAGACTAAGTATTTATTAAATATAACAAAACTTTATAATAAATTATACATAATTAAATATTATATTTGATATATAAATCATTTAAAATTTTTATAAATAGATACCTTTAAATATATAAGTTATATTTTAAATTTATGATAAATAATTTATAATATAATATAATATTATTTTTTTCATTGATATTTTATTTTAAAAATATTAAAATTTAATTAATAAATAATTATAATAAATAAAATTAAATTAGATAAAAAGTTTAAAAAATCATAAAAATATTTTCATTTATGAAAAATCTTTAAAACACTCTTACGAAATATAAAGATTAATGCTTAATGTATAAAAATTGATTATTTTATTAATTATTATTAACTAATTCAATGATCCATCCAATTTTAAAAATCATTGTATGAAGTCTTAACATAAACTGCATAAATTTTAACTTAACTAACCCATTTTATGAATAAAGTGATAATTTTAATTAGATTGTAAACTTAATTCAACAATTAATCTCTTATATTTAATAAAAAAATACACGTGATTTAATAAAGTGATATTTTTAATTAGAACTATATACCTAAGTCAACAATTAAACATTTATATTTAAGTAAAAAATACATATGTACCAAAAAAAACTTGTAATAAAATATTGAATTAGACCAATTTATTAATAACCAATATATGTTTGATATTGAAATTAATTACCGGTCAAAAACGCTGGAATTTTCACAAGACATGAGGCGCTGATCTAATTAATTAACCTTACTTACAGGAGACTCAACTAATTAACAATTATTTTATCTGTAATTTTCAAAATACTTATTATTTTATTTTAAAATAAATATGATTTTTACATTTTTTTATTTCAATGTATTCATTAAGAAAAATAAGAAAATATTAATAAAACAAAAATAGTCAAATATAAATATATTTTTAAAGAATAAAATGATATATATCTTTAAATTTTTTATGTAAAGCACTACGTGATAATTATTTTAAAACAAAAAATAACGAAATTAATGAATAACACAAGTATTTTTATTATTTAAGTAATTTCATATCGGTTCTGTACTTGTGTTATGTCTATAAATGGCTACCTGAATCTTCTGCATATATAGGACTCACAAAGCATTTGTAGCGGAGACCGGTGAAACCTTGTAATTGAGGTTTGTGTCGTCACTATTCACTACTCATTTTCTTTCACTTTATTTGCATAAATTATATCTCTAAACCACAATAAGTTGTTTTATTTCATGCTTAATTGGTTATGAAAATACTCATAAATGATGAATGTTCGGTTTATTATGCTTGGTGTTATCTCATCTTCTTTGCATGCAGTTTTGCCGAACTTGATCAAACTGTTCTGGGTGAATTATTCTTAATTGGTTCCTGGAAGTGAAACTTTGTTTTGCTTGAATTAATCATCCACCTTGGACCTTGGTTATTTAGCAGCATGAGACTATGTTTTGGAGCTTATCTATATTTTGTTTAAAGGTCAACAAATAAAACAAACCGGTAAATTTCTGCATGGTTAATTGTGAATTGTTGCCATTCATCGGTCTTCGATTATATGTTGAAGTATACCATCTGATTGGATAAATTTATTGAAAAACATTTCTAACAGAACAAAATAAAAAGAGAAAATGAAATAATTTTTTTCATAAATTAAAATTAACTTAAGCATAAATTAATTTGTAGAAATTCTCTCTTATTTATCTTTTCAAAATCTCATTATTAAATTATACATAAACTAATTTTAATTAATAAAAAAATTTATTTTAATTTTTATTTATCTTTTTAAAAAATGTTTATAAAAAAATTTATCCAAATAAACTCATAGTTACGACTAAAGGTAATTTAATATAATATCATAAGCAAATATTTTCAGCAAGTTAAACAACTCTCGTGTTTCAGCAAGATATCACATACGCAAATGATCTTGATTTTTGATTTTTTATTATACTTTGGTTCTGTACATCTTTTGCCTCTTATTGGATGATAGTTATTAGTTAGTTAAGCCTTCTCTTTTATTATTGTTTTTTTTTTTTTGGGTGTGTGAAAATCTCCAATGAATTCACATTATGTGTCAAACTTTTACATTTATATTATTTAATAACTTTGTGTAAAATTCAAATTTAATCAATTTAATTGTCAAGTTATATATGATATTATCAACAAGTATTTCAAATTTTTACACAATTTAAACATTCGTTATATAGTAATAAATATTTATTTATATTTTAAATAATATATTTTATGTTTAAATGAATGAGTGCGATGAAATATTAATTAGCTTTTTATTTACATGAAATTTTATAGCAAATTATTTTATATAAACTTTCAATTCATGAGGTTAGATTGGATAAATTTATATTTGACTAAAGATTTAATAAATGATGCAAGAACAAATGTTTGATATCGATGTATATTGATCGTTTCTCTCTATATATATATATGATTTGATTCTATTCTGCGTGTTTGCATATGGCAGAAATACGGTCCCCTCTGATTGTCAACGAAATATGTTCCAAATTTGTATCATAAGCTATTCAATCCATTATTCTAAGCTTGAACATGATGTCCCCAATATTTATCTTAGCTTTATTTGAGTTAACCAGACAATTGAGCGTGAAGCATATAAATCATATATGTTCAATCCACCACTTGGTTTGCCTCTTGTAGCTTGAAACTTGAAACTTGAGAAGAATGGATACCTTCCTATTCACTTCCGAGTCGGTAAACGAGGGTCATCCCGACAAGCTATGTGATCAGATATCTGATGCAGTTCTTGATGCCTGCTTGGAGCAAGACCCTGAAAGCAAGGTTGCATGTGAGACATGCACCAAGACTAACTTGGTCATGGTATTTGGAGAGATCACTACAAAAGCCAAGGTAGACTACGAGAAGATTGTGCGCGACACGTGTCGTTCCATAGGATTTGTGTCTGATGATGTTGGCCTTGATGCTGACAACTGCAAGGTTTCGGTCTACCTTGAGCAGCAAAGCCCTGACATAGCTCAGGGAGTCCATGGCCACCTCACCAAGCGACCTGAAAACATAGGAGCTGGTGATCAGGGTCACATGTTTGGCTACGCCACAGATGAAACACCTGAGCTCATGCCTCTCAGCCATGTCCTTGCAACCAAGCTTGGTGCCAAGCTCACTGAAGTCCGCAAGAATGAGACCTGTCCTTGGCTGAGACCTGATGGAAAAACTCAAATCACTGTTGAGTATGTTAATGATCATGGTGCCATGGTCCCAGTGCGTGTCCACACTGTTCTCATATCTACTCAACATAATGAAACAGTTACCAACGATGAGATTGCTGTAGACTTGAAAGAGCATGTTATTAAGCCTGTTATTCCTGACAAGTACTTGGATGAGAAGACTATTTTCCATCTCAATCCATCTGGTCGTTTTGTGATTGGTGGCCCTCATGGGGATGCAGGTCTCACAGGGCGTAAAATCATTGTTGACACATATGGTGGTTGGGGAGCTCATGGAGGTGGTGCTTTCTCTGGGAAGGACCCTACCAAGGTGGATAGGAGTGGAGCCTATATTGCTAGACAGGCTGCCAAGAGTATTGTGGCCAATGGACTTGCTAGAAGGTGCAATGTGCAAATATCATATGCAATTGGTGTTCCTGAGCCATTGTCTGTGTTTGTTGACACTTTTGGCACCGGAAATATTCCTGACAAAGACATTTTGAAGCTTGTGAAGGACAACTTTGATTTCAGGCCAGGAATGATTTCCATTAATTTGGACCTGAAGAGGGGTGGAAATGGCAGGTTCTTAAAAACTGCTGCGTATGGCCACTTTGGAAGAGATGACCCTGACTTCACATGGGAGGTAGTGAAGCCTCTTAAGAGGGAATAAAAAAGCTGTTTGCGATGAAAATAATAATGTTTTCAATCTTCATAACCAAGATCATAATGAAAATAATAATGTATCTCTTCTTTTAAAAAATAAAAATAAAATATTCTACCCTTTCTGTCCATCTCCAATGTTTGTTAGGTCTTTCTCACATGAAAAAACATATATTTGAGTTTATAATAGCTCCATAGCAGCATCAATGTTTGAGAATATATTCAATATGATCGCTATCCATTATGTTTGCTCTAAAATTGAAAGAGGGCAAAATAACGGTGATTGTATATTCACAGTTACTTTACTTATACACGATACACATATGCTCCATTAAATGATGTGAAAACTAAATGATATATTACTTACCTCCGTTTTTTTTTTTTTTAAATATAAAAAACAAGTTAAATATATTAAATGATAGTGTATTTAACTATATAATATACACTATAATTTGCTTCTTATAAAAAGGACCGAAAGGAGTAATGTAATACACTCAAAAAAGGGACTATAAGAATCGGGAAATTTGTAACTATTATTGTAAAAGGAATGAAATACAAATAACATGTAACGGGATCTAAGCAAGTCTTGACTCTTGAGAAAGGTACAATCATACTGTTTATTTTACTTTCCCCAGTGACAAGGCCAGCAGATTTATCAAATGAATCTAGGAAAGCTGTCAAATTCTGTACACACCCCCAATATTTAGGGTTCTCATAAATAACATCCACCTTCATACACAAACAATATATATCCTTCTAGAACAAATACCTATCCTTCTACACCAAAAGAAAGGAAACCACAAAATAATATTATCCCCTGCTGA